AAAAATATTTTTAGTTTTTATAAAAAATTTTATTATTTATAAAATTTTAATATTAATTTTTTAATATGTTAATAAAAATTATTTAAAGAATGTACGTTAAATAAAATAAAAATTATTGATAATAACAAAAATATATTTATATTTTTTTTAATAGATTAAAATCTTTAAAAAATATTTCTCAATTTAAATATTTTATTAAGTAACTGATATTTATTACATTTATAGCAAATTATAAAACATTATAAATAATGAAGTTCAACTACTAATAAATAGATTAAAAAATAATGTTAACTAATTATATTATATTATAAAAATTATAAATTCATTTTTTGTAAATAATAAAATTTTTAAGATTAAAAATAATTAATTTTTTTCAAATAAAAAAAGCTTATTTTAAAAAAAAGTACATATTAATTAATTATAATCATGTAAAATATATTATTGTTATTAATTATTTAGTTATTATTTATTGTTACTATTGTTATAACTGTTTATAGTTGTTACAATTTTTAAAGTTAAATTTTTAAAGTAAAAAGTAAAAATTAAAAGAAATATATTTAAGATTTAATTTGTATTATGTGTTCACTCAAATCACACATCACATCTCATTGCAACCAACACTTTTTAATATGAAACAAATAAATACACTAACCTCTTCCTCTTGATGTAGATGGATGACTAGTAACTGGTGTAGTAGTTGATGTTGGTACCAAATTGTTATATGACAAGTCCTCTTTATTATTATAACCACTGGATAGTGATAAATTGTAACTATTATGTCCTTGTGATATGGCTTGTGGATTTTGTGGTGTACGAGAACGTGTCCTTGATGCAACACAATCAACAGCTGTTAAGTTTAACTCTGGTAGACTTGTTCTTGCAGTACTACGTTGTCTTGTACTATTTCCACTAATATTATAATTTGATTGTTGAATCTTATGTTGTGATCTCCAATTATTATCTATAAAAAATAATGTAATTTATAATTAAAACTTTAAAATAATAAAAGAAAAAAATAAAACAAGAATTATATTCAATTTATTTAAAAAATATAATTACCTAAATATGATTCTAAGCCACTGCCATGACTTTTACATTCACTTTTTGATTCGCTTTGTACTACTGAATCACTTGAATGTTTACAAGAAGTATTATCAAAAACTTCAGATGATTGTGGATCACCAATAGTTTGTCTACGTCTTTTTTCTTCTACTGTGATAGGAATAGAACCAGTGCTTTGTCGTTTTCTATAACCACTACTACCACTGCTAGAGCTCTTCCCTCTAACTTTAGAGGTGTCTGCTGAAGCACTGGCCGTCTCTACAGACCCCCCTGATGACGACTGATCTTGTTGATCTGCCATAGATTAATCGACTCATGCCACTATTCTGTCTGTAACAAAATAGAAATATTTTTTATAATTATTCAAATAGAATCTTGCAAAATTTTATATATAAGTTTAAATATATATTTTAATAAAATAATTCAAAAAACTATAATAAAGTTCAAAAAACTTTTGACAATATATTTATTATATAATGACAAAATTACTGTCTATAAATGGAAATTAAAACAATAAAAAATCAAAGTTAAAAAAAAATTTTAATTTTAATAATTATACAATAAAATAAAATATAGTATTTTAAAAATTAAAATTAGATGAAATTTTTTATGAAAATTTTATAAATATTATATTTATCTAACTTTGACTAAATTTGTATATTTGAAATTAATAAATAAATTATTCATTACTTAAAAACATATATTTAAATTTAAAAAAGTATATTATTGTTTAAAAATGTAATAAAAATATATATACCTATTTATAAATAATACGTTAAAAGCAAAAAAATATATATGCATAAAATTCTAACAAAGTAGACTAAACAAAAATCATTTATCACGATAAATCAATCTCCATTTAGATAAAAACAACGTAATTAAATAATATAGAAGAAATGCGCAATTAATGTTTTCCTCCACGGTGAAAGAGATAGTAACAAACCCAAGAATCATAACAAACACTACAACTGGTGCCCGTTTATAATATGGATAATGCAAAATTGTACCGTTGACATTATAGAATTTCTTTTAAGAATACTAAAATTACATGGTTGTAACAAAGCCACGAATAAATTCAGTATACTGTAAAAAATTCAATGAAAGATGTAAATAATTATAACAAAGACTCATAAGTGAGCAAGCCACCATTTGCTTGCGAACAAGTAATGGAGGACGAGTTCTTTCTTCATCTCTTTCTCTCTTTCGTTTCTCTACTCTCGTTACTGTATGACCTCAGGTTGAGGTCCTCGAAAAAGAGAACTCTACTTGAATGTACAGGTTTACATCAAGAAAAAAAATAAAAAAAAATACCCAAATTATAAATAAGATTACCTGAATGTCGGAAAAACATGCCCAGGGCATTGCGAGAAAAATGTCTTCTTGTCGATGATTTTTATAAGTACAACGTTTCTTATTACGTACGACAGAGAAATGGATTCTCGTGCAAGCACGTACGTTAGTGAGTGGCTATGTGCACAGGCACACACCAAAAAACGCACCGAATGCACTACCGAGGCACACTGAAGCAACTCAGCGGAATGCGACGGCTATCGAGATCGGGTTGGTTAGAATTGGGAAGCTGGAGGACGCTCCGCCCCCATCAGGAAACGTCACACACGAAGTCAACGGAGGTGCGTTCGAAAACACGGTGCCCGCGTGGAGTGAAATCGTAATTCATAACGGAACAGCAGACGTAAAACCGGCGCGAATAGCCATCTTGCTGCAGTTTTTTCAAACACCAACTTTTACTTTCTGTTCATCTATGATGTAAAATTAGCCGCAAACAATGATCGAATATCAGTGACGAATTCAAATATATAATAGGTTATTCCTAGGTTAAAATATTTATAAGTATATATATATATATATATATATATATATATATATTATTATATATATA